GATCTTCCTTCCTCCCTATCTGCCTCCTCCAAGTAGAGGGCAAATGGTAGGAGGGAGACAATTCAGGTCAATTCATCTTCAAATGGTCTTCCCGTTCCCATGAGGAATGCAGAATTCCCATAAAGCGCTTTGAAAACTGGCTAATGCCCTGACCCCTTACTCCTCGTGGGCTAAAATGGTGCTGCGTTCCACTACAGACCCTATAAAGTCTCACCCTATCTGCCTCCTCCAAGTAGAGGGCAAATGGTAGGAGGGAGACAATTCAGGTCAATTCATCTTCAAATGGTCTTCCCGTTCCCATGAGGAATGCAGAATTCCCATAAAGCGCTTTGAAAACTGGCTAATGCCCTGACCCCTTACTCCTCGTGGGCTAAAATGGTGCTGCGTTCCACTACAGACCCTATAAAGTCTCACCACCACCGTTGAGGATGACCATTGACCACCAGAGTGCTGAGGCTGTCTGCTGAGCTACCAGTAGCCAACACTGCCAACCTGGCATGATGTTCTTCCCCATCAGGGAAGAAGGGAAGGGGGAGTTCAGCATCTCATGTTTTGGTGGGTCTGAGCAGATGAGAACCCATGTACATGTTTTGTTCAGCTTTAAGACAAGCTTCTGTGTCAATCACCTGATTAAAATGATTCATTTACTTGCTAACATCAAACTTAAAACTGTACATATGGTAAAAGAAGTCAGGAATCAGGGTCTGAGTTTCTCCTGCTAGTTTGCGTCTTGCTCAGTCCCCCCGTGCCCTGGTGAAGCTCTGTGAGGTGAGGGAGGTCTGGGGCTGACGTGTAACAGGGAAGTCTCTGCAGTAACTGGCCACCGGTCACCATTTGCTCAGTTGTCCTGATATCCAGAATAAACAAGGACTGGCCTCTCTCACTGCAGCAGACGTGCAGCCCCTGCAAAGGCTGTCCCTGGTGTCCTGTATGTTTATAGCTAATGTAATTAATGCCAGGAATAGCTGAATTTTATCTGATACAGCAAAAGTCCTCCTCTGAGCTAAGCCATTAGAAAGGCTTGGTATTGTCCTGCTGGAGTATGCTGGGCAGGGAGGGCAAAGAGAAAAACAGGATTAGGGTTATATTTCTGGATAACTTTAGTATTAGTACCATTTTGACATTGCTTTGACGGCATAGAGTGGCCTCGTAACGCAAATGCATACCTGAGCGCAGCTATCAGGCCACAACCAAGCACTGGAGAGTCCCATGCTTTGCAGGGTCCCCCAAAAACAGCCAGACCCCGCTCCCTGCCTTGCCACCGCTCTCTGAAGCAGCACTAGCCATGATCCCCTGGGATGTTTGCCCAGCTAGTGACCACAGAGGGGCTCAGAAAGTCTCTGCTGAACAGTCCGGAGTCGCTCAGGTGGCTCTACACATTGTTTCTGTATTGCTTTTACTCCCTCGTGCCCGTGAGCGATGTGGGTAGAGAGAGACGAGCTTGTGGTGCAGCGATGGTTATACCTGTAAAAAGGAGCTTCTACTGGTTTGGTTCCATAAATTTGTAGGAATGTGCAACACCTACATAAAGGCACCTTTGTCTGGATGCTGTTGCATCTGAGCTAGGAGAGTTCCTGCTTTAATTACGCCATCTCATAATGGGAATGATTTAAAACAGTAAAAATGCTATATGTAAACATAGTCTTAAGACCAGATGAAGTCTTCAACGGAATCTGTCCAAAGTGAGGAGTCTCTCTGTTTCTCCGACAGTATTTTGAAAAAGCGATGACAGATTATAAATTCACGCTGAAGTTACCGAGCCTTCATTAGGGTTCAGAGAAACCCAAAAAACTCCTTTTACTCCTCCTCCTTACACACGTACTCCTCAGCCATAGAAAGGGCAATACTGCGACATTTGCCGTAGTCATGACATGATGAGTCACTGCATTTCCATTCTTTAGAAAACACCTGTACTGCCTGTGCAGCGTCCGGGTGCTCCTGAGGGTCG